ACCCTTGTGGTCCTCCAGGGGTGGAGCCCCTCGCCGGGCCTGTTTCCGGCTCTGACAAAAGCCAGGCTGTGCGAAGCTTGCGGGGATCGGAGGGAATGCGTGGCCCTCCCCTGGCCAAGGCGGGGGCGACTCCCTGGCGTGTACACAGGCCGGAGAGAGGAACGTTGCTGGGCGGGCCGTTCATCCAGACGCGTCTCACCTGTGGCTCCGTGGCAGGCCGGCCCCAGACCCACATTGGTGCCGCGGATTTGCCCCCTTTGGACTTCGCACGGCTGCCCCCTGTGTGTGTGTGCGTGTGGGCGTGAGAAAGACCGACGGGGCCCCACTGCCCCCCCCCCCGCCCAGCCCGCAAGCAGGTCTTTCTCCCCTCCTTTCTCTTTCTGGAGGGAAGATTTGCTTTCTCACGAAGAAGAAAAAGCGCCTTCCTTGTCCCCAGCAGAGGGAACAAAAGTTTGGCACCGAGCGAGAGCGCAGAAGCGCACGGAGGGACGCAGAGTTCACTAGCAGCTGCTTGGAAAGGGAGCGCGTGGGCCTGGAAACCCCGGTGGTTAGCAGACACCCGCCTCGCTCTGCCTCATTACGGATAGAAAGGCTCAGGTCCAGAAAAGAGATGCGCCAGCCCCATGGCCTCCCGTCCTTCCCGGTGGTGCCACCCGCTTTCCCTCGGCAGCGTGGTTGGAGCAAGGGCAGATGCTTCCGCCCAGGGCTGCCTTCAGCTGCCTTTGCACCATTCTGGAACCCTGGGAAGTTCCCAAGGAGCAGCGATTGGTATTCTGGGAAGGCAGGGGCGACGCCTGAGTGCCTTGACTGAGCCAACAGGCCCGCATCCCCTTTTGAATAGAGGCCGGGGAAAATCCATCCATGCAGAGAGGCTGGAATGAGTCTTTGGAAGGGGGAATGTCTCTCTTGGCCAGCAACAGGCCTTCAACTGTGTTCTTCTTTGCAAATTGTTCAAATATGTCCCATTGGCGACCCCGATGTGAGCAAGAAGGGCTGTAAATCTTAGGAAACTTTGCAATTTCCCGTGTTTGCCTTCATATTTGACAGTGCGCGCTTTGTGTGCATGCACATCCACAAATGTACACATCTCCCCGAAAGGATTGTCGTGCTTTCGACAGTGAGATGGAAGTCTGCACTTGGAGAGCGTGTCTTTGGCGTGCTGGAAAAAATGTGCTTTTCCTGTTAGAAATAAAAGAGGCTCATGTTCCGAAATGGGAGCGAGGCCTCAAGGTCAGCAGCAGGGCCGCCAAGCAGCTGCGGCGGGGGCAGCTCGAGCTGGAGGGCCAGCGGCAGGGTGGGGGCTGCCAGGGGCCCGGAGTGGCATCTCATCGGAAGCCGCCGTGCAGCAGCGTGGCCAGCTGCTTCCCTTCGCGCAAGGACACACGGGGTGCGGCTTGCGATGGCTTTCTCTGCGTGTGATTGAGGCAGCCATCTCTGCCCCCAAGGCTTTGCCCGTCTCCTCCTGGAAGTCCTCCTGCCAGAGCCTCCCCACGGAAGGAGGGGTGAGGTGCAGGTGCTGGTCGTGTGTTGAACGGTGCCATGACAGCAAAAGCAGTGGCGGCGGCACAGGACCAGTCCCTGCCCCTAGGAGCCTACAGGCTCAACTGTGGCTGGTGAAGGAGAAGAGTCGGAGGGAAGGAAAGGGATGCAAGGGAAGTTCCCTTGCCTGGGCTGAGCGTTAAGCCAAGACATGCTGAAAATGCTCACACGGGGAAAGGAGGTGTTTGAAGGGGGATTCCAGGGAGGTGGAGAAGGGGCACCTTGGCAAGGTGTTCTGCAGAGAATCTGGGGGAGTCGTTCGAGAAAGGGGTGCGTGAGACACACCGGAGGAGGGAGAGGGTGCGCGGTCCTGCCGCCGCAGCCGTGTGCCGCTTGAGAGGGGGGTGAGGCAACCTCACGAGCCGAGCAGCAGCTGCATCGGCAGGACAGCACCCGGCCCTCCGATCACTAAGAGCCGCCGCTCTTTCCACTGGCTCGCCCTCTCCCGGCGCCATTAACGAAGCCGTTAACGAAGCTCACCTCGGCACGCCAGTGGGGGGCCCGCTGCCCCGAGCCGCATCTCCAGTGTGCGGCACCCATAGCGCCTTTGCCAGTGTGGGTCCGTGCGCTGCGTGGGGAGGGACTTTGTGCACTCGGCTGCATGCGCAGAGGGATCGGGACCCTTCCTGCTCTAAGGGTCTGTCCCCCAATACTTTTAGACTGTAAGTTTATGGGTAGGCGGGCTGCACACGCGCCCTCTTTTCTGTGTGACCCCAAATTTTACACTGAAATTCAGTGCACCAAAAGTGCGTTTTTCCTTTAACAGAACCTGTGCAGAGAGCATTCCTGGCGGCCCTGGGGGGACGCACTCAAGGTGTGTGCTCCCTACACAACTTGTTTTAAAGGGAAAGCAGCTTTTTTGTCTCTGGCTCCGGGCTGCCAAATTTCAGAAGCACATTCAGTGGCTTGGCAGCAATTTCAGCAGCTGGGGGTGCGGCATTAGGTGGGTTCTGGGGGGAGCCAGCCACCAGTCCCCTGGATGTGACCCAGCACGGCTGCAGAGAGCCCAGAAGCACCAGCCTTCGGTTGCTCATTCCCCAGCTGCTGCCCAGGAGTCATCAGGTGCTTCCGCAGGGAAGCTGCCCCCGGGACGCGGCGCATGTTCTGCACACGTCAGGATGGACCAGAGGCGCGTGGTTCTGCTTGCGGGATCCTGTGCCAAAGAGAAGTGAATCTGGGCAGCGCAGGGTCTCAAAGACGGAGGAGGCCAGCAAGTGAGGAAGACTGCAAAGCAGGCCAGGAGGAAGGTCCAGGAAGAGCAGGGCACGTGCCAGAGAAGGGCGGCAGAAATGCGAGCGGCGGCGGGAGAGAGCCGGGTGTGCCATTTGAACTTGCTGCGCCGGGAATCACAGCGGCCCCCGCGAGGGTCAGATCCTTCCAGCCGAGCCCTCCGACGCTGGAGAGCCCAGGCGGCTGAGCAGCCTGGCGCTTGCATGTTGCCGGGGGCCACCTGCTGGAGGGGCACCGGTCCCTTCAGCGGGAGGCTGGGGCACAGCAGCAGGGCTTCCCCGGGGCTGAGGACAAGTGGCGGCGCGGTCAGGGAGGGTGGCACCGCATGGCCTTGGTGGCCGGAGGCAGAGGCTCCAGCTGGAGAGCCGGTTCGAACTCGGGCTCCCCTGCAAGAGTGACGGCAGCACAGGCCTGCTTGCTCCAGGCCAGCCGGCTGGCCAGCTGTGCAGCCCTGTTCTTCGGGTGGACTGGGGTCTGGAGCAGACATCCCCCCTTTTCCTCCAGCCACCCACTTTGTGGTGAGCCAGACAATCCTGGCTGCTGGAATTCCATAGGGAAAGAGAAGCGATTCCAAGGAAGCCCACGGGGCGCCTTGAAATGCAACATATGTCTTGTGCAAGATGCATGGCATTAAATTTTGCTCCCAGCCCCTGTCCTGCTCCAGAGTCGGGTGGGGCTTTAGCCCGATGCGCACACGGGCCTTGCCCCCGCGTTCACTGGCGGGACCCGGGGCCCGGCTCCAGAGGCCTGAGCCAGGCGTCCGAGGCTGAAGGAGGCCTTCCTGCCCCCACCGCCACCCGCCTTGGACTTCCCCGGCCTGTCTCACACCAGGCTCAGAGCCCTGCCGCATGGAGCCGCAGGGCAGCCGGGGGGCTCGCGGGGCCCCGGCTCCAAGGCCGGGGCTGTGGCGCAAAGACCACGAGGGTGGCGGCGAGGCGTCCGCGGCTGCCAAGCCCTCGCCTGCAGGGAGCTCCCGCATTTGGGGGAGCAACGGGGGCGGGGGGGCTGCAGCGGGAAGGTCTGGCCTGCCTCTGCTCCATTTCCTCCGCGCCAGATGGCTCTGGCTCAGCTCCCTTTGTCATCCTGGAGCGGCTCCTGCTTCCCGGGGAGACGCCAAAGCTGCTCCGCCTGGGAAGGAAGAGCCCTTGGCCCACGGAGGAGGCAGGGTGGTCCCTCCGGAGCGGAGCTCAGCCAGGTCTCGCCTGTTGGGCAGGGAGCAGGAGGCCGAGCCGGGCGGGGGCTCGGGAGCCGGGCCACCGGCCGTGGGCAGAGGGTGGGGTTCGTGCAGCCTGTTTGTGCCGGCCGCGCGCTGTGGGCCCCCCGGGAGCCCTCTGCAAGCAAGCAAGCAAGCAAGCGGCGAGGATCCCTGCTGTCGGAGGTCTGCACCTTCGCCTGCACGGGGGGCTGCCAGGGGGGCCAGGCAGGCGCACGAGCGTCGCTCAGGGCTGGGTTCTGCTGGCAGCAGCCTTGCCGAGCGAGTGCTGCCGGACGTGCTGGACTCAAGCTCCCATCTGCTGGGCATGAAGGGCACTGTAGTCTGGCTCCTCTGGGGCAGAGCGGGCGGCCCGAGGGCCCCGGTCTGCTGGGGAGGGGCTCCTGGGGGCCATGCTGCAGAGGCAGGCAGGTCAAAGGCGAAGTGGGGGAGGCTAACTGTTGAGCCCCCCCCCCCGGCACACTGTGGCTTACAGCACTGACTACTGGTTGTGGGGAACAGCACAAAAGCCAGGGGAGCACCCAGCAACTGGAGGGGCACCCAGGGGGCTAGCCTGGGCCCGTGGGAAGCCGGATCTGTGGCCTAGAGACGCGTTTCTCCCTGCGCAGTATGATCTTGCTGCAAACAGGTTTTGCAGGTTTTTGAAGTGCTCCAAAATCCTGCAAAGCTGTTTGCCTCGAGGCTGCAGCGATGGTGGCCAGCCGCTCCCGTGCCAGTTCCGCTACCCCACTCCATCTCCATTCCTGTTTCAATTTTGCCCCCAGCCTCAGGGGAGCTGCGGGGGCGGGGGGGGGGGGCTGCCAGGCTAGGGCAAGGGCCGGCTACCATGGCCGTCTTCTAGTTGCTGGTGCGTCCCCTGCAGGGATGCAGTGGCAGAGAAACAGAGATGGAGAAGCGGCCTGTCCCCACCATGCGACTTTCAAAAGGCACAGGAGCCCCGTCGGGAGAAGCTGCTGGGGACCCTCTCTGTGGCCTTGCCAGTTAAACCTGGTCGCTCTTATGCTTGGGGTCGGTCGCCATGACTCCGGGGCGTGCGAGAGCCACGGAAGGGGTGCAGGCAGCCCACCAGTGGGGGCGTGGATCCGCGGAGGACCAGCTGTGGCTCCCGCATCTGTGCGAGGTGCCGCCCGCCGGGCATGGCGCCAAGTGCTGGGACAACCTGGGCATCCTGCCGGTGGGAGCGAACGCGCCTTGTGGGCCGAGGCGTGGCAGCCAGAGGTGACAGGTCTGTGCCCGGGGGGCCGTGGGAACCCGCGTCGGCCTGGCTCCTGGCTGGCAGGCTCTCCTTCGGGGTGGTGCAGCCCCCTCCCCTCCTTGGGGTCGTGTCTGCTTCCCGGCTTCACGTGGTGGGCTTGCAACGGGAGCCCCGGGAAGCTCACCAGAGGCTCCCAGCTGCGAAGGAGGATCGGCTTCTCTGAAAGCTGGTGGGGGCTCGTTTCGGCCCAGCCAGCAGGGTTGTCCAGGGAGTGAAATGCCCGCTGTCTCTCCGAGTGCCAAGGTGCGCACGGCGCGGGGCCCGCCTCGCGCTTTCCTGACACTGCCGCCCTCCCGGCGTGTGGGACGCCCGGGCAGCTCTGATCCCACCATCCCTGAGCCAGCGCTGGGAGACTTCAGCTTCGGGGTGAGGCTGCACCCCGCCAGACCAAAAGGGGAAATCAGCTGAAACGGGGGCCTGGGCATCCTGCCCGGTGTGGCGAAAGGGGAGGGGGTTTCGCTCCCCGGCCCACGTTGCCAGAGCCCAGCAGGGCGGCCCCATGAGGCTGGTGGAGCTGAAGGACACGGGAAGGGGGGCTTCTTCCTGCCGTGCGTAGCCGGGGCGTGGGACTCGCTTTCCACGAGATGTCGAGGGGGCCGCTCGTTTGGCGGCCTTGGGGCCTGGGCGAATCCGTGGAGGAGAGGGCTGTCTCTGCTACCAGTCCTCATGGTTCTGTGCCCCCGGCTATAGCAAAGAAAGCGTGCCTGTGTACCCCAGCGGCTGGGGAACATGGGTGGGAGGCGCCGCTGTACTCATGGCCTGCCGGTGGGACCCTGTGGGCAGCTGGCTGGCCACCAGGTGAACAGGATGGCCCTCCGCAAGCGCTCGAGTTCACACGACCAATCTGAGGTTGGAATGTATCTGTGATGTAAATGGGAAGAATCCACAGTGGGACGAGACCTTTCTTTGGACTAACCAAAATTCCACAGAAACATGCAAGCTTTCAAGTCCTCCAGAATTCTTCGTCAGGCTATGCAGAGTTCTGAAGAACGTGCAGTCGTGTTCATCTTTGTGGAAGCTGATTGCTAAGAGAGGTACCTCTCCGCTGTGCATTTGGACTCCCCCCCCTCCCTCTCTCTCTCGTGGACTACTGTACATAGCTGTCTGTGTGGGGAGGCGTTTATGGAAGTAGAAAGTTTCTTACGAGCTTCTGAATGGAATCATGTGAAGCCCCCTCCCCACATTTTGAGGAGGGCACCAGGAGGTTGAAATAGCAGCGATTCTCTGATGTTCGGGGCCCCGCCACGAGCGCTGCAGGGGCTGCTGGTGTTTCTCAAATGAGATCAGTATCAGAAAACAAGTTTCCCTGAAGGCAGCTTGCCTGCTGCGACCCATCGTCCCCTGCATATGTAAAGGCCAGGGAGGGCTCCGAGTGTTCTGGAGCCGAGGCTTCCTGCATCGCCGTTGCGAGACTCCCCCCCCTCCCCTCCCCTCCCGGAGAGCTTTGGGCTTCCCAGGCGGGCCGGCACTGAGCGCGTCCGAGCAGACAATGCGCGCACTGCGCTGCGAGGGGACGGCCGGCCTGAAAGCGCTCTTTCTTCTCCCCCGCGAGCCCCCCCCCCCCCCAGGGGTTGCGTGCAGAATGCCTGCCCCCTTCCAGCCCCACCCCCCTCGGTGGCCGGGCCAGGCCGCTGGGAGGGCAGCCCCCGCCCGGGGCTTGGCCCGCGGAGGATGGTCCTCCTGCCCCGAGGGAGCGGCAGCCCCGCGAGGTGCCCGCAGGTGCGCCGCCTCCCGTGGAGGGGCCTCTCGGGCTGAGCCTGCCCCGCAGGGGGACCGCCCTGTGCCCTGCCCGTCCAGAGCGGCCTCTCCGGATCCCCCCCACCCCCCACCAGAAGGCAGGAGCGCAGTCTCTGCTGGCCCGGCCAGGAGGCGTCGGCCCGGCTGGGAACGGAGCCGCTCCGGCTGCAGCCAGCGCCCCAGGTCGGCCCCGGCGGGGGGCTGTGGGTGCCGGGCCACGGCTCAGGGAGGGGCACGAGGGGCCCCCGGCATGCGTGTTTCCGCAGCCTTTTCTGGCACGGGTGGGTGCTCGGGCCCCGAGGCTGAATGGGACCACGGCTCAGCGGATGCGCAAGCCTGGCATGCAGTGATTCGGGGGCGAGGGAGGGACGCTCCCCCTCCAACTCTGGGCTGCAGGGCTCCAAAGCACCCGTGGACTATAGTGAGAAACCGGCAGTGCTGTCACATGCCTGCGCTTTGACCGATTTTGAAGCAATGTGCCGCTGGGGGAGGGGTGACGCCTCCCTGACGCCGGTTGAGTGGGCGCAGGGGAATGCTGCGGGACCGCTGTGAATTTTGCTGCACTTGGTCTGGAGAGAACCCCGGCGGCTCTTTGCTATCCAGGCCGGACTGCATGACACACGAATGCACAGTCGCCTTTCTGGGGGGGGGGGGCAGTGGGGGGATGCAAGAGAAGGAATGTTTGTAGGGGACAGCCTGTAGGAAAGTGACAGAAATCGCAGAGACGTCCTCATTTGCATATTTGTTAGATTTCTATGCACCTGATTAGTCACGCAGCTCCCTGGGTGTGTTACAACAACTTAGGGAAGAAACCTGTAAGATGTCAGGATGATAGGTTCGGGGGTTATGGCTGTGTCACTTGGCACCTCTGCATTTGATTTTGGGGGCTGAGAAGGAATTAGCAGCAAATCCTATGAATTGGGAGAGGGGATTCATATGCATATACCTTGCCCAGATATATTTGTGTGCATAAGTAAATTTATGTCAATGCAGTGTAAAACTTCAGGCAGACCAGCTGCATTCGCTCTGGGGCAATTTGCAGGCTGGGATTTTCGGTGGGCGATTTATGTGCTCCCCTCCCCTCCGCTTCACCTGTGAGGTTGCGGCTGCAGCGTTTTGCCCGTCCGAAGGTGCACGAGCAGGAGGGGGGCGTTGTGCCCTCCCTGCCTGGGCAGCAGGGAGAAGGTGCTGGCAGGGCTTGCCTCGTACTGGGGGGCCTCCCTGGATTCCCAGGACCTTCCAGGGGATGGGTGGGGTGTCAGCAGCTGCCCCTCCCTCAATGCAGAGGTGCAACCCCTGGATGGGGGTGCGGGAAGGGCCAGAGCGGTGCCCGCTTTGTGGGTCCAGGCCATGGCCCCCTCTGCAGGCCGGGGAAGGAAGGACCTGGCCACGGCCGGCCACTCCGGGTGTGACGGAGCAGAGGTCTTGTGCCCCGGCCGAGGTTCCTGCCCGGCACGCTGGAGGAGAGGCAGAGGGCGTGCGCCCTCCCCACCCTCGTGGCGGGCAGCAGGAGGCGGGGGCCAGCCCCCCCCCGCAGCCCCAGGTGCAGGGAGACGCCACAGCCGCTGCGGCCCCAGCCCACCGCATGCCCCCCGGAAGGAGGAGCACCCTGCTAACAGGGCCACCGTGCCAGGACGCCCCCTGCCCTCGCCTCCCCTCCGGGCATCGGCCTCATCCAGACCCCGTGTGGGGAGGGGCCAGTCGTGGGCCAGTGTGTGGCAGCCCCCCACCCCTCCTGCTTGCCGCTGGGCTGGGGGGCGCCAGGGAACCGCTGGGGGCAGCGGGGCCCACCTGCAGTGGCCGCGCCTGATGGCCCTCTCTCCCCACAGGACCCGCTGTCCCTGGATGCCGCGGTGCAGAACACGCTGGCGGGGCTGTTCCCCCCGTTCAGCGCCACGGCCCCCACCGTGCTCAGCCAGCTGTTCCGCGTGCTGGAGGCCACGTACGGCGGCGACGGCCTCGGCTGCCTCCTCGACTTCCTCATCCCGTCCAAGCGGCTCCTGGAGCACGTGCGGCAGGCCGCTTGCGTGAGTCCGGGCGTGGGGGGTGGCCGGGCCTGTGGCGAGACCCAGGGCAGCCCAGAGCCCCCGCAGCACAAGGAGCTGAGCAGGGGGCCGCTCCTCCGCGATCCGGCCCGCCGTCAGAACCTGCCCCGAAGGCTCTGCTCCCGTGCCCCGTGGCGCTGCACGGAGGGAACAGGGTCTCCCGAATGCAAGACGGGCACCACACAGGCGGGCGCGGGCAGAGCGGTCCCAGGGCGGCAGAGGCTGCCGATGTGTGAGCATCGCCTGGAAAGATCTGGGGGCAGCTTGCGGCCCTGCTGGTTTTTTCGCTCACAGTTCCCATCATCCCTCACCATTGCCTATGTTAGCGAAGGCTGATGGGAGTTGTAGGTCAGAACACCTGCCGGGCCCCAGTAGCCAAGCCCTGGCCTAGATTCCTTCAGTGCCTCCTTTGGGGTGCCCCTGCATGATTCCCTGCTCTGCCGGGCCTCCGGCTGGAGCATCACACTGTTCCCTCCCTCCTTGGGATCACGGCCGGCCGGCCGGCCTGCTGCCCCCCTCCTTGGGCTCTGGGCGCATCTCTTCCTGATCCCCAGGACAGACATGCAGACCAGGGACTCATGCAGAGACACAGGGATCGGGGTGGAGAATTCTTACCCGTAGGCTTTGATGGGAAACTCCTCCAGCTGTAGCAGTGAAGCCTTTTCCAGTCTGACTCCAGAAAATGTGTGTGCATCACACTTCCGGCACTTGGGAATTAACGCTCCTAGTGCATCACGCCTGGACTTGATTCTTGCGCCCGCATTTTTCTTACTCCGGGCTGCAGGCCGGGCGTGCAGCATCCCGAGCCCTGGTGGCCGAGGCAAAGCCCCCGAGGAAGGGGGGAGGCTGAGAGGGAGGCAGGGCCCCCCTCTGTCTCGGGTGCAGAATGGACGGCAGCGTGGCAGAGTCCACAGACGGGACACGGAACAGCTTTAGCCTGGCAGCCAATCCAGGCCAGCTCTGTGTGCGCAGCGCCCCTGTGGTGGGAGGGGCCAGGGCCAAAAGGGGTGGGGCCAACGGGCAGAATGCCAGCGTGGCTTAGCTCAACGCTCTCCCTGGCAGGAAGTAAACCGTAGAAGCGGAGTCTCAACTCTTGCAGTGAGGGGAGGCTGGAAAGCAGCACAGACGGCCGGGAAGCACCAAGGGGCAGGGCCGGGGGCCAGGGGTGGGGCTGTGGGAAGGGTCTCGGGCCATGGTGGGGGGCCGCAGGGGTTGGGTGGGCCTCAGATGATCCAGGAGTGGCCCCAGGGCCTGGGCCCAGAGGTCCGAAGGGGTTGGGGAGAATCTCACAAACCCAGCCATGACGGCCGTGGGGAACGGGGTGCACGAGGGCGTCCTGCCTCGAAATCGGAGGCAGAGAGCAGGGAGGACGGCGGGAAAGCGTTCTGCCCATGGAAACCATCCGTGCCTCTCCCTTGTGTGCCGCCAGGCGCCGTACTTTGGCTGTCTCTTCCTCCACGAAGGCTGGCCGCTGTGCCTCCGCGAGAAAGTTGTCGTCCACCTCGGCCCGCTCAACCCGCTCCTCTTGCGCCCAGGGGACTTCTACCTCCAAGCGGAGCCCTGCGGGGAGCAGTCGGCGTGCCTGGCGGTCAAGTGCCTCTCGCGGGACCTGACCTCGGTGGAGAAGATCCCCGTCCCCGAGGCCTCGTGCTCGCTGCCCTTCACCGAGGGCTGGCTGGAGGAAGTCACGCAGGGCCTCGGCCGCCCGGCGCTGCACACCTGCCTGGTGGCCACCGGGAACGGGATCGTCCCCATCCCGTGGAGCAAGATCGTGGCTCCCGAGTTTGTCCAGGGACCCAAAATGGAGGCGCTGGCTGAGCACGACTCCTCGGGAGGCCCGGAGGCCTGCTGCCCGCCGGGTTCTCCGCGGCAGAGTTGCCCCCTCGCTGCAGAGGGGCACAGGGGGCCCGGCGGGCCCGTGCAGACTCCTCCAGGCAAGTACCCCGGCCTGATCAAGGTGGAGCAGGGCTCCTGGAAGAAGTCCAGCCTGTTCGTCGTGCCCAGCCTGTGCGACATCATCAGCGAGAACCTGGAGGGGGAATACGTGAACCTGCTGGGATTTTCGGAGGAAACGAAGCCGAGCATCTCTGCTCCTGCCGAGCCAGCAGCGTCCCCAACTCCGGCACGGGACCCTCCAGGAACGGCAGCGCCCGAGTCTGGGAGAGGGCTCGCTGGGGAGAGTGGCAGCGACGAGGCCACGGCGGCAGACTGGGATTGTGGGATGGGGCCACACTCCACGGAGGGTCCCTGTACGCCTTGCCTGAGGAGGAAGCTGATCCCAGACCCCAAGGACCACGAATCAAGGTGTCGGTACCGGGAGTCGTACATGGCCGCCCTCAAGAACCCCGTCAGCTTCAGCTCGGGATTGATGGCTGCCATCTTGGAAGAGATGGATGTCGCCAAGCAGGCGGCCCCCCCGGAAAGCGCCAGCGTCCCGCCTTCTGAGGGGCCAGGCCAGGCGGCCCCCAGATTCCCCTCCGTGCATCCGGAGAAGGATGAGAAAGTGGACGAGGCTTCCAAGCCGGGGCCGGCAAAACTGCCGAAGTCCCCCGCAGAATGCCCGGCCGCCAGCAATAAATTCTCTTTCCTGAAGGGCCCTCGCCAGCTGCCCTGCTCCCCGGCCGGCTTGGCAGCGCCCGAGAAAGCCGGCAAGAGGCAGGAGGGGCCTCGGAGGAGGACGCTGATCGCCCGCTCCCCCAGGACAGTCCGGGCAAAGCCGGCAGCGGCCGCGGGAAAAGGTGATCATGACAAGCAAAGCAAAGCACGGGGCCCGGAAAGGAGGCAGTGAGGGAGCGGGGCCTTGGGTGGGTCTCCTCACAGGCTGGACGTGCACATGGTGGGCATGTCATGGGTGGAGCCAGCTGGAGCTGGGGGTCAGACTAGATGGCCCGGAGGCCCCTTCTGACTCGCTCTGTCTCTGTTTCTGCAGCCGTGGCTGCCGGGGGGTCCAGACTTGCAGGCAGCGGTGCTGACCTGGGCCAAAGAGCCGCATGGAGCAGGGCTGCTTGAGGCCGGCCACCCCGGGATCAGTGCAGGCTGTGGGGAGATCCGTGTCCCCCCAGCCACCGCTGGGGCTTCTGTGCAATCTGGGGGGCTGGCAGAGGACCTCGGCGCCCTGCTGGCCAAAGGGTTGCCCCACGGAGCCCTGCGAGCCCCGGGTCCACTGCGCCACGGAGGAGGGGGCGGGAGGTGCATGGCCCGCTTCAGGGCCACCCGCCCTGTCACATGTGGGCCCCAGGAAGTTTAGGGAGCGCATGGCCGTGCCTGTGCCGCTGGCCTGCATCTCAGTGGCGCAGATGCGGAGCTGTGGGCAAATTTCCCAGCCGTCTGCCTGAAATTGGGGTGGGGGGAGGGGGGTTTAGCACAGGTGAGGCCTTCCTGTCTTGGGGGGGGTCATCCGAGGGCACAGGGCTACAAGGCAGGAAGCACCCGCCACCTGCTGCGCCAGCTGTGAGAGAAATGGGCGATCTGGCTGCTGCCTGTAACGGCTGGACCTTTCCGTGACCCACTGCCCCTTGTGTGACCCACAGGGTCTGGATAGGGTAGGCTAGGATAGGGCAGAATAATGGTAGCCCTGGAGGGGGCCTGTAAAGCCCCCCCACCCGCTCTGCTTCCCCAGTCCGCCCGCCCGCGCCTTTCCAGCTCAGCAAGGAGGCGCAACGAGCTGCCCTGCGTGATTTGGGGCTGGGAGCTCGGCCGACCCGCTGCCACCCTGGGCCTCCTCGGTCCTCTGCCTTGGCCGATGGATGCTCTGGGGAACTTCCCCAGCTGCTCCGAAAGCCCCTCTTCACCCCGCCTGGATGCCTCCCCCGGGGCTGTTCCGGAGGGCGGGGCGGGTCGGTCTGTGGGCAGCCAGTGGGGCCACGGCTCCTGCAGGTGGCACGGTGGGCCGGCACACGGCCGCTGCAGGGGAATGGGGCAGGGCTGCCCTGCTGGGGGTGCCCAAGGGCCAGGATGCGGCCGCCGTGACTGCGCGCAGCCTCCATTTCGGACCCCCAGTGCAGGGGAGCCCCACCATCATGCTGCACCCTCAAACTGCTCTTCCTGTGGGGAAGTTTTCCTTAACGCTCAGCTGGAATCTGCTTCCGGGGGTTGGCTCCAGGGTTAATTCATCCTGAGAGTTACAACCACTGGAATAAATGAGAGTTAATTCAGCCGTGGTTTAAGTTACCCCAGCGGTTCCAGCGGGCCTGGTGCAGGCATGACCGAAAGCTCTGCTTTGCTGCACTTGCATTCTGGCTTTTTCCCTCGAAGGAGCTGACGGTGGTGCACACAATCCTCCACTCCCTTTTATCCTCACAACAGCCCTGTGAAGTAGGCCGGGCTAAGAGGCAGTCCCTGGCCAGTGGCTTCTGAGCCCTGAAGCCTCTGCACCACCCCGGTTCTCGAATCCCCACAACTGGGGCCCGTCACTGCAAATTCCAGGACCCTCCCGAAACGCGCTGGCATGGCTCCTCTTTCCCCCACGTCTCCCCGGCTGAACAGGCCCGTCTCTTTGAGGGTTTCTTGTGGGACTTGCTCTCCATGGCGTGGAGGGGAAGGGAGTGGCTGGCGAATTCTGCCAAGCATCTTGTCCTGGTTTTGAGCTGGAGAGCCCTCCCAGCAATCCTCCACCTTCCCAACTCTTCCTCTGGCACAGGTGCCAGCCCCGCCGAGGCCGTGGGCGTGGACAAAGCCGTGGACGACTCCGCTGGGAGCACAACGGATGCCCAGCTCAGGGAGTGCCTTCCTCCCGGATCCGACCTGCAGGAGCTTGTGCACTGGGAGCTGCTCAGCCCGGAGCTTCTCTCTTCTGGCGTCGTGTGTCTGCCAGGTACTGCGATGAGGACCCACCCACTAGGCCGCACGGCCTCCCCCTTGCACGGCTGCCCTTTATCTCCGCAGGGCTCATGCCTGGGAGCATCCTGAGGGTCGGCACTCCCCAGTAGCCCTCCTGGAAACTAGTTGCCGCAGAGCCGGAATACATTCAGGAGCAAGAGCCTGCGGCGAAAGCCTCGGATGGGCCGGATTGCCTCTTTTCCCAGTTTGTGGAGCAAAAGGGATGGCTCCAGTCCGATCTGGGTTTTTGCACAGAAATGTGCGACTGCAGAGCTCCATCACATTACGGCTCCTTTCCGTTGGGTTTCAGGGAGTACAGACAGGCTCGGCAGGCCGGTGGTTCAGGTCACCACGAACGACCGTGCGTGGGCAGCACCGTGGTGCTCAGCCCGGGAGGTGACGCGTCTCCTGCTCCATCTCTTCTCGCTGGCAAGGTGAGTCAAGGCCCCCCGGGGGCCGCCTTTCCGGAGGAGGCCCGTCCTCGCCCCCTCTTGCTCCTCTCGGCCGGTTGCGCCAAGGGCGGTGAGTTCCAGCCGTCCCCGGGCCGCCCTGCTTCCTGGAATCTGGCTACGTTTGCGGTTCCCCCCAGCTGGTCCCAGGCTTGCAAGAGCGCCACTGCCCCGGTGGCTCCTTTCCCCTCCCGGCCTTGTGGCCTCAGGCACTCTGCTTGATCGGTTTGGCCTGCTCTTCCCCGGTTGCCTCCGCGATGATAAATATACCAAGCATCCTGAAGCAGCAGCCCGACAGTGAAAACAGTGGAAAGCAGGAAAGCACCGATTGCAGAATAGCAGCGATAAACATGCAAGTCGTAAATGGCACAAGGAGCAGTCGGGCTCCCGGCCACGTGGCTCTGATGGAACATGGTGAAATATCCTGCATCAAAAGAAGCAGCTGCTTTCCAAGGCCAGAGCCCCTTTGGCAAGAGCCAGCTGTGTGTTTGCCATAACCCAGGGGTCCTGGGGGCTGGATCCAGCCCGCCATGCCCATGTGGGCCCGCATGCGCCTGCCGTCACCCACCTCGCCCCACGCGCAGGGAGGCAACGGTTTGCTCGCTTGGGGAAAAGGGTCTCCGAGCAAGCCAGCCAGCCAGCCGCTGCCTCGTGCGCCCGCCTCGCCTCCCCTGGCCATGCATGCCTGCCCACGCCTCGCCTCGCCCCACGCCCCGCCCCCCCAGCGCCCGCGCCCGCATGCCCCGCCCCCTCACATGCGCGCACCGCCAGCACCACCTCTTTGACCGTGCCCAGCACTGGCGCCTTCCAACTGGCCCCCTGCTGCAAAAGTTGGAGGACCCTGCCGTGACCGTGGGATGGGGGCCAGGACGGCAGTGCTCCACCTCCCGCTGCCACTCCTGCCCGGGGGTGGCGCGCTGCCCTGCGTGGCTTGTGCACAAACAGAAACTGGTGCTCAGCTCATGGAGGGCGGGCTGTGGAGGCCGGACCTGCTCACAGGTGGAGAGGCGCCCCGCTTTTGGAAGGCGTCAGCCCCTCCTCTGGGCTTCGGGAGAGGCCCCGGAGGAGGTTCCTGGCGGTCGGGGCTCCCCAGAAGCGTTAGCTCTGCTCTCTGTTTCTCCAGTTCGGCTCGCTGGGCATTTTCCAGGCAAGGGGGAGCGGGCACTGGCGCCTGTGCCCCGGGACGCGGGTGCTGTGGGGTGGGCCATGGGGGCTGCGCCTGGGCCCCAGGGTGTCCGGAGGCGCACCTTGGATGCAGTGGGGCGGAGGGCTCCCGCGATTCTCCATGAACGGCTCTCTCTGCCACGCCGCTTCCTGGCTAAGTTAGCGCTGCTTTTGATGTCCAGAGCACTCTGTGCCCCAGCGGCACCTTGAAGGGGCTGTCAATAGTCGGCAAACTTTAAAAAAAAAATCCAACCAAGCGTGCAAATATTTCATATTTCTGAAACGTATAGCCTGCCTGTCGAGCTATACACATGATGTTAAACCTAATTTCTTTGGTCTACGAACCACACCGTAAGTTCGGGCATGCGTGGAATTCCACCAGTGGAGTGCAGGTGCAGCTGGGTGAATCCTTATCAAAATGCCCCCCTGCTCGTTTCTCCTGCCCCCCCCCCCACAGGAAGCAGTGGAGCAGCGCGGGGCTGACGGTGGTGATTGACGCCCGAAAGGAGCCGCCCTCTCCCACGCTCTCTGCCGCCCTGGGGGGTGTCCAGGGAAGGGGGGGGGGGGGGGGGCTGGACTGGGGAGAATGGGGGCAGTGCTCAGGTTTGCATGGGGGGGGCGTGCATGCATGTTTCACTTCCCATAGTGAGCTTTCTCGCCCTGTGATTCCCGGGCCGGAGAGCAGTTCTGGGTTGCGTGTGCCCCCCCACTCCCCCACCCCCACAGAGAAAGCGCAGTGCGTGTCTTTCAGACGGGAGGCTGCGCTTCTCCTCCCCTCCCTGGAGAGCTTATAGGGGCTCCTGCGTGACAAAAGCACCCTGCAGAACCGAGGACACAAAGCACCGTCGAAGCGCAGCGCACTCGGAGTGCAGCTGGCGGCACATGGGCTTGGCGTGTCGCTTGCACATGTCTCTCTGGGCTTCCCCGGAGGGTGCTCCGCTTCCGCACGCCCGAGAGCCAGCCGATGCTCCCTGGTTGCTTCCCACCGCTTAGATGCTGGTTCTTGTGGAGCGGTGCCAAGAAAATCGCCCCTGGAGAAGTGGTGGCGTTTCCTCCCACAGAGCTGCACCCTCCTTGGCGGGGGGCGGGGATTGGCCTTCCCAGGGACCTTTGTGGGTCCTCTGCTCTGCCGGAGCCCTTTATGCGGGAGAAGGCAGGGCGGGGGCTCCAGAAGGGGGCGCTGCAAACTCACCCCTCCCTTCAGGAGCAGGCGGTCTGGGCTGCTTCCCGGGACCCTCCCGAGATAGAACTGGGGCAGGGGGTCTTTTCGGGGGGTCGGGGGGGCAGATGAGCTCTTCCATCCTGACAGGGAGGCAAAGGTGACACTCGCCCAGGGCAGCTGCGCTTGGATGCATTGGACTGCAGTCCCCATGCTGGTTGGGGAAGCTGGGTATTGTGGGCCAGCACATCTGCAGTGGGCCAAAGCCGGGGAGCCTGGGGCAGGGGGAGGTCTCCAGGAGATGGCTGTTCCACCCAAGCTGAGGACCGAAGTCTTTAATCGCTGGGGCACGTCTACAGCAAATTCTTCGAACGTTAGCGCCCGGCGGAGGGGGTAACAGTGGGGTCCTTGTGAGAATTTTCATCGCCTGCACCGGATGCTGGTTCCCAAGGTCCCACACCTGGCTGCAGGTGGGGGTGCCGCTGTCCTCAAGCAGGTGCGAAATTGCTTTGGGCTGTAAATGTGCAGGTTTCGTGGAGCCCGTCTCCCAGGCAACGGATTTTATTGTTGTGTGATGCTGGGGAGAACGGTGGTGGGGATTTGGGTGCGGCAACTGAGAATACACCCAGCAGATCAAAGATGCGGGGGGGGCGGGGGGCAAGAAGGCCTTCGTCCCTCCAACCAGCAGGGGGCCGGCTCGCTAGGGGCTTATGGGTTGGAGCGGCTGGGAGCCTTCGCCCTCTGCTCAGACCCCAGAGTGCACCCACGGCGGGGGTGCTTGGTGCTCAGTTCTCGTCCCCTTGCAGAGTGCCTGGCCTGGAGCCATCCACACGGTGCTGCTGCTGGCAGAGAAGGAGGCCGCTGCGCATCTGGAGAAGCTGCCCGGGGTGCAGGTGAGCTTGCGTGTCCTCTCCGTCTCCCAGGCCAGGTAGCTGGTGGGGGCCCCGGTAGGTGGAGAGGGTCCCGCTGGGCTCCCGCGGCCGACGGCTCAGCGAGCTCTCTCCCAATCATCGCTTTATAGACTGGACACGGGCACGAGGTTTATCTTTCAGCCCTTGAAAGGCTCTGCCGCTCCTTTATTAATGCTGCTTGGTTTAATTACCGTGATATGAAATATTAATGAGTCCGATTAACGGCCTGTGCCACCAATGATTAAAACACCCGCATTTCCCCGTGTGAGTCTGCAGGGCAGGCCGGCCTCTCTGCTGGTCTGGTGGATTGCTAGCGGGGGGGGGGGGGGGCGGGGAGCCGCTCGTCTCTTCCTGAGCCTCCCCGCCCAAGGCTTGCGCACACACCGTCCCTCCCATACGTTTCAGAGCGAGGGGGGTTCAGTGGCCGCTGGAAAGCAGCTGGGCGGACGTGCCGGCTCGCGCCGAGGGGCGGTGTGGCTCCCGCGGGGTCGGAGCGTGCTCTGCAGCCGGGCGGTGGGGGAGCTCCGGACTCTGCACTGGCGGAGGCCCACACCTGCCGCAGGGAGAAGCCATGCGCGGACGGGAACAGCCGGCACGCTTTATTCTGGAGGGGGCGGAAGCTGGCCTCCTCTTGCAAACCTCCCCATCCTCCTTGCCTCGCGTTTGCACCAGCGGCGACCCCGTTTTGCCCGGGCTGATGCTTCCACTCTGATCTCTTTTCTTAACTCTCACGTCTCTGGAGCCACGTGGCGCCGCTGCTTGGGCCGGTTTGAAAAACGGGGCAGCTGCTTTGCTTGAAAGACCCGCCAGGCTGCTGACGGCCGCACTGTGCCTCCCCTGCAGGTGGAGCTGCTGAGCTCCCTGAAGGCTCTCGGCCGCCACGTGGACGGTGGCCAGCTGACCCAGGCCTTGGATGGCCAGTTCCCCTACTGCCACGGCGCATGGGTCCAGTTCTTCCAGGTGCCTGCAGCTGCCGGCGGCCGTGTGGGGAGGAGGGCTGGCTGCAAACGCGCCCCTTAAGGTTTCTCCCCGCCTTCTGCAAGGTGTGGGAGAAGTCCCCCCTTTCGAAGGGGAGGCCGCTCCTTCACCCAAATGCCTTGGAGCCCTTTCCCCAGCCGAAGGGCTCCTCCCGCCTCGCCTGTCCCGGGGACGCCTGCCTTCCCCTTTCATCCCTCTGGAGTTAGATTGCAGTCTCCTAGGGGCAGGTGACTTGTTCTGCGGCTTCATGCTGTGAAATGTCACAACCGTGGATGGCACTCTCCCAGCCACCCCCCCCACTCTGCCTCCGCGCCCCCCACCCGGCCGTGCAGCGGCTGCTGGCCTGCTTCCGCGTGCGGCTGCCGAGCTGCTCCGCCTGACGGAGAGCTGTCTGCTTGCTCCCCTCAGAAGCTGCACCGCCTTGTAGGCGACCTCACGGGAGCCTCGGAGTTGCTCAGGAGCACCACCCAAGAACTGGAGCAGGGGGAGGGGCTGGAGAGCATGCAGGTAACCCCCCCCCCCCGGGCCTGGCACCTGAGCCGTGGGGCAGAGCAACACCCCGCAGGGCAGCCCCTCCTGCCGGGATCGGCGGACCTCCGGGCACTCCTTGGCTGCAGGCCGGCCCTCCCGCTTCCGATCCCCTTCCCTGCACAGCCAGCGGCTCTGCTCTGCTCGGAGGCGCCCCCGGGCTGGCCGTCTCGTGCACCCAGCCGGCAGCACAGGGTATTAGTCTGTGGGGGGGCACCCCACCGGAAAGAGAGGCGAGCTCCTCCGGGTCGGCCCTGGCAGTCCGTGCAGCCGTCTTATTCCTCTCTTCCCGAGAGCTCGATAAAAGGAGGCAAAGCTTCTGGAGGCTGAGAAGCAGGCACGGTGCTTTCCCCTGCAGCCGGGGGCATGGGTGGCGTGGCGGATTGAGCCCTCGGGCCATGGTGCTGCTGGCCGGCAGGCCGCCTCCGCACGACAGGCGAGCACCTGCTGCGTGGCCCCAGCTCTCGGCTGCCCAGCGAGCCGAAAGCGCGCGGAGGAATAGGGACCCCGTGGTGGGGCGGGCAGCCGAGTCCTGCGTGCCCCAGCATTGAGTCCCGCCAGCCATGGGACCACGGAAGCGTCTTCGGACGACGCCGGCTCTTCGGCTTGCAGACGGATGAGCGCCGGCCCAAGCCAGACACAGCTGGCACGCGAGTGCGGGGATCCGTGCCTTTACCTTACTCCCCGAGGCAGCCTCTTGCAGGGCTTTCTTCTGGACGTGCGTTTCTAGCCGTCACTTGGGCGATGCCCGGAAGCTGTTCCCATGCCGGCCCCTGCAGCCAGACCCGGGCCCCGCGAGGGCCTCGTGGGGTGAGAGTCTTGCGCAGGGACCTGGGCCTCCCGCGCCCACACTCGGCCACGGAGCCCACTGGGCGACTCGGGGCCAGCCCCGGGCTCTCGGCCCAGCCTGCCTCACAGGGTCATTGTGAGGATGAGAATGGCGTGGGGAACGGTGTCCTGGCTGTGGGGGGAGGCAGGGCGTGAATGGGGGTTTTATGCCCCTCCTGTGGCCACGGCCCACCTCGCATGGTTCGCCCCCAGGCGGTCGGGCGGCGGATGGAGAGGCACCGGCAGCTGATGCAGGAGGTCCTGTGCGACACGCGGCTGGTGCGGCTGCAGAGGGAAGGCGGGGCGCTGCTCGCCAGGCTGAGGAAGGAGGCGGCCCGGCTCAGCTCGTCCCCCGACGTCCGGTAGGCGCTCTGGGGTGGCGAAGAAAACGGCGATCGGGGGCAGCATCCTCCCCCACGGACTCCGCGGCTTCCAGCATTTGCAAATGCTCCGAAGTGCCACGTTCTGTCCCCTTTCATTGAAACAGAGCGAGTCGGAAGGGGCCTCCCGGGTCATCTAGTCTGACCTCCGGCACCAGCCGGCTCCGCTCACGACATGCCCACCGTGTGCACGTCCAGCCTGTCCTTGAGCACCCGCACCGATGGGGCCGCAATGACCTCTCTGTAATACTTGGTGCCTTCACTGAATCAAGATCTCCCTGAGAGTTCATGCACATTTCTGGAGGGCTTTATCCTAATGCAGGAGGCTTGGAGGGATTCTCTGGATGCGTTGGCAGAGTTTCATACAAACTTCTCATGATTCTGCTGCGGTGCACCATTTCACTACTGTGTGGGTTTTTGTACTGGGGAACTGCATCCCAAAACCGTGCATTGGTTTGCACGCCGGTTTGAAGATGCAAATGGTATGGAAATGTGGACTAAGCAACCCCCCCCCCCCCGCTTTGCCAGGAGTAGCTTCGCCTCTGCCCTGTCCCTCTACAACCTGGTGGAGGAGGAGGTGCACACGCTGGTGACCAAGTCCAACCAGCGCTTGGAGCACCTGGAATTCCTGCTGAAGATCCGGGAGCTGGAGGCGGAGTTCAGCAAGGTACGTGGGCCTGCCGGACCCGGAGCACCAGGAGCAAGGCCGTCGGGGGCTGGGCAGCTCCGCCGTGTCCGGCTTCCCGGGTGTCTGGCACGGCCAGCGATCAGTCGCGGGGTCTGCATGGAGGCCGGTGGGGCAGGAGCTGGGCGGCGCTGTGGGGCTTCCCAAGGGTGAGGGGCATCCCCTCCCAGCTCGCCCCCACCCCTGCGTTGCCTGCCACTCGCTTGACGCGGACGCTGTGCCTGGCCGCTGCCTCCTGCCGGGTGGTTTGCTGGCCAAGGGGGGGCAGGAAGGCCCCTCCGCATCCCTCCGGCCGCATCCAGCCAGGTTGGCGATGGCGTCTCAGGCCGAGCATCCTCCTCCTCGCCTGAGGGGGCCGCGGACTGGCCCAGCGGGGGAGAAGGTCTGCCCGGACACGCAGCCGGAGCTCTAGCTGAGAGGCATCCTGGGGAGGGGTGTCACCTGCCTGTCCCCCGAGCTGCCGCCTCCCTGGCCCCTGGGGGGGGCTGGCCCCACGCTCTGCCAAATGCGCCCCCCTGTGTCTGAGCTCGGGAACAGCAGGTGCACCGTGAGTCTGGGCCTCGGCAGGAACCTGCGGGCCCTGCTGGCCTCAGCTGCGGACGCAGCCACGGTGCACTGCCGCTCCTTCCGAAAGGAGGCGCTCAGCTCTCCGGGGAGGCCTGCCCATCACGGTGGCTGCTGGGGCTCAGTGTACGTGGGGGGCTGCACGTCCGGCTCCGGGGGGCATCCCCGGCGTGGTTGGGGCCAGCGAATCATGAGCAGCCACGGCTGCGGCAGCGAGGGACACCCGCCGGAGCAGCTGGGGCGGCAGCTGGAGGGCAAATGCGCAGCCCCACGTGGGATCGGGGCCCTGGAAGCCCCAGTGCAGGAGCATCGGGCTGGGCGGACGGACGCGCGGGAGCCATGCCTTCTCCCCCAGCGGCCTCGGCCTCCCGGCACCTGCCTCCCCGCTTGGTGGAGAGACGGAGCAGGCGGGTGCCTCTTTCCCAGGGCTGGAGAAGAGAGATCGCCCCTCGGGCTGAAATTCCTCCACTCCTCCCAGCATCCAGGTGCATCCTGCCGTCCCCATAGCCTTGCCAGGGGTCATGGGGGGGTGTCCAGGATGCAAAAATGAAAGGCAGACGGTGCGAGGAGGCGGCAGGCGGCCCATCTCCCCGTGTCGCGTGCTGCGCCTCTGCTCCACCCCCGCTGCTCCCAAGGGGCCTTCCCGGCCGGCCGGCCACGTGCGTTCCCGGAGGGGCTGCCTTGGGGCTGGCGCTCCGGCACACACCTCGCTCCCCCCTTGCTTCTTCACGCAGCTCAGCTCGTGGTTTGACGAACGGGGAGAACTGGAGCTCCGTGCGGCGGGGGCTGCCGAGGGCGGCCGGGAAGGCGTCGAGAGGGCCTACTGGCGCTTCCAGGAGTTCTTCAAAGAAGCCACGGTGAGTTCGGCCACGGTCCCCGGCAAGGGCAGCCGGAAAGAGCTTTCCTGCAAAGGGGAGGGGGCAGGCGAGCCCCGCTTGCTGCAGAAGCGGCCGATACCGTTTTTCGACATTGCTTTTAGGAGCCTTGTGCATCTTCTAAATTCGTTCTTGCACCTTCTTCACAGCGGATGTAAGACAGCCAGGTCGGCTATTCCCTTGTCAAGTCCAGCATTCCATGCCCTGGTGTTTTCTTCTGTTTAAGACAACCAGATTCTAAAAGCATCCATAATTTTTGTTTAAAGTGCTGTGGAAAAAATGGGGAAAGGCCCATTTAAGAGAATCCATTGGAGGATTTTCACCAAAATCCGCTCTAGCTTTTCTGTTTGCATTGATCCTGGACCCAGCCATCCGCTCCTCCATCTTCCCTTTCACAAATTCCAAGCAAATCCCTAATTATTTCCGGCTTGACAAATTTATAACAAATCTGCAGAAAGAAATGCAACCATTTCAGTAAAAGTCCTCGTCGGATTGTGTATGTGTGCACATCTCTGACAGTAAAGCAGAGTTATGAATTAAGGGGAAGGTAAGGAGAAGGGCTTGCCCCCTGGACTTTTATGAACTAAAATGCTCCTCTTTGCTAGCCCTTTGGGCTACCATGCCCCAAGAGTCGTGGGCTGCACAGAGGAAGCTTCCAAACTGTGGTTGGTGTGTGTGTGGGGGGGGGGAAGCAGGGGGCGGGGGCTAATATCCACAGTGTAGAAACGGGGGGCGAGCACTTCTGGACCAAGCCGCAGCCCCGCTCACGCCAGCACCCCGTTCCCAGCCGTGGGGGCCTCCTCTGTGGCTCGTCTCCCAGGGAGGGGCCCCGGGGCACTGACGTTCCACCGCGGCCGCTGGGGCCTGGCTGCACCGGGGCACGTGCCAAGCCCCCCGTCTTTCCCCTCTTCCCCGGCAGGCCCACTACAGCCGCGGGCTCTCTCTGTCAAAGGAGGCCGCCCGGATCCAGGGCTCGCGGTTCCCCGAAATGGAACCCTTCGAGGCAGCCAAGCGGGCCTTCCAGGCACAGCTGACCGTGTTCTACATGGACATGGAAAGGAAGGGGGCTGAGCTGGAGACCTTCTTGGACCTGCACCGGTTCTGCGACCAGGTGAGGCCACGGACGCTGCGGCGACGTGGAAGTGGAAGCGGGGCGGGGAAGAGCGGTGGGTGCAGGGTGGGCGAGTGGGCACAGCAAGGGGTCCAGGAGGGGGCCGGTGAGGCCATGTTGCCATCGGAGCAGCGGGGCTCGTGCGCAGCCAGGCCAAGCCCCACCTGGCCAGCGCTCTCATTGCACAGTGGTCAAGCAGCTGCCAGAGGAGCCCACGCACGGCGGCCTCCCACCCATGTTCCCCAGCAGATGGTGTGCCTAGGCCAGTGGTGGCGACCGATGGCACGCGGGGCACAGTGGGCACGCAGAGCTCTCTCTGTCGGCACGCGAGCCAAGTCGCCCCGGCAGCCGAGCATCGGATAACAGCGCACACAGGGGCCATGCGCATGCACGGAAAGGGATAGTGGCGCCAGGCGATGATGTCACGAGCCGCAACTTGTCAAAACTTTTGCATGGCCGGTCAGTGCACTTGCTTGGACTGGCTGTGAGCTGTTTTTTCTAAGCTAAAACCTCAGTGTTCAGGTTTCATTGCAGTGTTGGCACTTTGCGATAAATACGTGGGTTTTGGGTTGCAGTTTGGGCCCTCGGTCTCTCAAAGGTTGGCCCTCCCTGGCCAAGGTCATTCCGCCTCTGACACTGGAGGCCGCAGCTGGCCATCTGGGCTGGTAGCCACGGATGGTGGCTGTCACCAGACCTGGCTGCCATGTGGAGAAGCCCTTCCTGGAAGCTGCCACCCATCCACCTCGGGGGGTCACCCCACCTGGTGTGCCGAGAGTCCCCGAGGGAACCCCTCCCTGCGTGGCTGCTCCTGGGGGCACCTGGGCACCGAACAGGAGGGCGCCAGGAGCACGCGGGCCGCTTTCTCGCCAGGTGTGAGCCCTTTTGTCCGCCCTGGGCCAGGGCTGGCTCTTCCCTGGATCGGAGGGCACCGTTCCCCCCTTGAGGGCCACTGAGGCTCGGGCAGTGGTGGGGGGAGCCAGTTGACTCCAACAGGCCAGAGGCGTGTGGCCAACCGCTGCTGGAAGCCGCTAAGCCAGGCACCCCCCCTCGGGCTGGTCTGTCGGGCTCTGCCTGACGCTTTCCCAGCAGGCACAGAAACAGAGCGAGTCTGAAGGGGCCTCCCAGGCCATCGAAGGCCATCCTGTTGTCCCCGGGCCACTTCCACGGTCTGCCCAGATCCTTCCGGATTTGGAGCAGCAGAGCAACGGGATGGGGCTGCGAGGAGCAACTCATCTGCTCATCTGCTAGTGGTTTGGATTCCGAGAAGGCAGGGGGCCCTGGCTGGAAAGCAGCCACAGAACTGGGCATGGGGGGAACAGCAGAGAAGCGCCTGGGGTGGCCGGAAATCACGGGAGGAGCATTCCGGGTGGGGGACGGCCAGGAAAGACGTCCTTGCGGGAGAGCTAAGCCTCGTCGTCCCTCTCTTTTCCAAGGTCACCCAGTTTAACCTCGACTGCAAGCGATGCCTGGCCGTGCAGAGCGCGGGGAGGAAGGAGGCCGGGAGCGCGGAGGGCCGGCAGGCGGTGGAGCGGGCCCTCCAGCGGCTCTCCGGGGAGTTCTCCCCCGAGAGGTTCCAGCAGATGAAGAGGCAGGCGTCCAGCCTGCGCAGCCAGCAGGGCCTGGCGGTGTGGGCAGTGGCTCTGGAGAGCTGCCAGGAGGCCAAGCGGCTTCTCGACGGGGCCCTGGCCTCTCCCACGGGGGCCCCGGGCGGAGGGCCCAGAGATGGCGTGGGGAAGAGCAGCGCCCTCGGCCCGGGCCCTCGGCCAGGCCCCCCGGCCCCAGGGGACGGCCCCGGCGCCAGAATGCCAGCGGGACGCACGGCGGCAGGGCAGCCCGAGGGCAGCCAAGGGCATGAGGGCGGGTCAGTGCGCCCCCCGGGTGGGGGCACCGGCAGGGATGGGGCGGGCGGTGAAGAGGCCCCCCTCGGAGCCACCCTGGAATGTGGGGTCACCGAGGCCCCGGACACGGAGCGGGAGGGCTCAGCGAATCCCTGCCCGGCCCCCCAGAGCCCTCCTTCGCCACCTGTTGCTCACCCTCATGCTGAGCGGCCCCCCGGGGGGGCGGCGGGCCTGCCCTTTGCCAAACCACCCTGCAGATCCGCCCCGGGAAGGGGCCCGAGGGCCAGGAAGCGAGAGGCGGCCCAGTACTTCCAGCTCGCCAGGCACGGGAGCTTCTCTTCGGAAGACACCGATTCCCAGAACTCCACCGACGATGGGCAGGGAGCCCCGCTGCCCGCAGAGCCGCCGGGACCCGAAGGAGGCCAGGACAGGGCGCTGGGCATCCTGTACTTAGAGAAGCACAGCGCCAGCAGCCCTGCTCACGCAGCCCCCCAGTAAGGAACGGGGATCCGGGCAGGCAGAGCGCGCAGGTCTCCTCCTGCGGGGCTGTGGCCGGGAAGGCCCCTTCCAGCTGCGAGAGGGACTGCCCCCATCTCGGGTGGGCCGAGCCGTGCCTGAAGGAGAGGACGTGGGGGGCACCCCAAAGGCCTGCTGGAGCCCGTCCCCACGGGCAAAGCTCAGCTCCAGGCGGGGATGGGCGGACCTTGGGTCGCACGGTAATGCGGACTCCCCAGTTTTGTGCTTTTGGACCTCTAGCAGCGAACCAAAGCTCAGTTAGCCTCTAAAATATGCGCTGCTCTGAATGCTGCGGTGGAACACCAAGTCAAGGAAGCGCATAACATGCATATTTTACAGAAAGTAACAATAAAAATATATGGTGTTGGGAGAACGATTGAAAGATGTGGCATCTGAGGGGACTTCCTGGCATCCGAACGGAACCTTGGCTCCCTGCACTTGGCTCCCTCGGAGAGCCGCCTGCCCTCCTCTGCAGGGGAGCCCAGGCCTCTGCCCATGCTGTGCCAGTGCCCGTTCGTGAGCGCTGAGGAGTGTCTGGCGCGCAGCCGTCCCACAGGCTGGTTCCGAAGGGCAGATGGCGAGGAAAGAAAAGCCCCCTGCGCCTTCACCACAGAGCAGCTCCGGCTGTGGCAAAGCAAATTAGAAACATAGAAACCAAGCGAGTCAGAAGGGGTCTCCCGGGCCATCTAGTCTGACCCCCTGCTCCAGCCGGCTCCGCTCACAACATGCCCACCATGTGGACGTCCAGTCTATCCTTGAACACCCGCACTGATGGGGCCGCAACCTCCTCCTGTGGAAGCCCATTCCACGCCCTCGGGGTCCTGACTGTCAGGAAGTGCTTCCTGGCATCCAAATTGAACCTTGGCTCCCTGAGCTTTGCTCCGTTGGAGCACGTCCTGCCTTCCAGTGCTGGGGAGAATAGGTCTCTACCCACCTCCGTGTGACACCCTCTCCCACACCTGTATGTCGCCAACAGATCTCCCCTGAGTCTCCTCCAGGCTGAAGAGACCCAGTTCCCTCAGTCTTGCCTGCAAACCGGCTCCCAACCTTGTGGCCCTACGCTGCACTGACTCCAACCTGGCTATATCCTTCCTGTAATGAGGGGCCCAAAACTGAGCACAATACTCCAGTTGCGGGCGCACCAGAGTCGTGTAGAGTGGTAGTAACACCTCTCTTGATCTAGAAGCCACACTTCTGGCTATGCAACCAAGCGTGGCGTTCGCCCTCTTGACCACCGCATCACACGGCTGGCTCATGTTCAGCCTGCAGTCAACCAGCACCCCGAGGTCCCTTTCACAAGGGCTGCTCTCCAGCCACTTGTCCCCTAACCTGTACTTATGACACCCATTCCTGTGCCCCAAGTGCAAGACCTTGCATTTATCCACACTGAACGCCATCCTGTTGTCTCCTGCCCACTTCCATAGTCTGCTCAGGTCCTTTTGGATCTGGAGTATCTGCTCCTCAGTTGTGGCCACTGCCCCAGTTTTAGTAGCATCTGTGAATTTGTTCGGCTTGTTTCAGGGTAGCTTGCCATGTTGTCTGAACCCAGCGGGGCGATCTTGCCCTGGGCTGCTGGGGCGGCCAGAGAGCAAAGCTTCCGCCACGCCCGTGATCTCACTGGTGCTGCCTCCATCCCTGCTCATCCCTTCGCAGCGCCTTCTGCTCCGTGCCTTGACTCCTAAGATAGGGCAGCCAGCCATGGGGGGAGGCAACCAGCAAGAAGGCAGGGATGCGTGCACAGTGGGGAGGGGGAGCTGGCAGTCCCGCTGCCATATCTCAAGGGCTCTGGGAATCTGGCGATCTGGGGTGTGCGGCCCATGTGCTGACGCGGGGCCGGCGGTAGCGCAGGGTTCTGCGGCAAAGGGGCCCAGGACTGGCGCCAGAGGCTGCGGGGGGGGGGGGGGGGGGGGGGCGGACAGCGAGCCCGTCATCCGCCTGCAGTGCCACGGCCTGCTATGCCAGCAGTCGGCCCCCGGCATCATCCTGGCCAGGTGGCTCCGGGGGTGCTCCCCACCCCCCTTACGGCCAGAGAACCTCGCAAACAGTATCCAGCACCGATGGCCGCGGCCGCAGGAGTCCGAGGCCAGCGGGTGCCGCAGGGCCTGCATTAGTTGCCCCGGCTGCACGCGGACCCCCAGGGCCAAGGGGAGGAAGCCTCCCAGGGGGCAGGTGGCCTGTTTTCTTCCTCCTTTCCGCAAGGAGCAGGGGAGAGGGTGGCTTGGCCGGCTCCTCCCAGCCTGTCGCCCCCTGGATCTGCTTAACTGCAGCTCCCATAGTCCCCAGCCAGAGCACCAACTCCCTATGATTCGTGGCTTAAAGAAGGTTTGGAACACATTCCCGGCTGCGGCAAAGGAAGCGCAGACCCCGTGGCGAGCGAGCAGAAGCCGGCTTGGCCGGGGCGGCGCACTGAGCCTGCTGTGGTGGCCCTGCCATGCGATGCTCTGCGTGGCCCTCGGGAAGCCTTTCTGGCTCACCTACCTCGCAGGGCTGTTGTGGGGAGGACGTGGGTGGCCCTGAGCAGCTGGAAGGGTGGATGCAAGTGCACGGCGGGGGAGGGCCCCCCACACCCCACGCCGGCGCATGTCTCCTCTGCCTGGTGTTTCCGCCCCCAGGTGGGAGCTGGGCCGGCCCCTCGGGTGTGCAGCACGGCGCTTTGTAAAGCGGGGGGCCCTTCTCAGGCGTGTCGGCGCTCCCGGGCGGCCGGACTGGGGGAGTGCATGTGGTCGGGAGCTGTGGCTGCGGAGCGCCGGCATGGCTGAGGCCGGGCTGCCCTTGCGCAATGCGCTGCGACGCGCTTTCCTATTCTTCCCTCCTGGGGAGGCGACGGGCATGGGCTTCCCTCTCCCTTGAACGGCACGCGGGTCCGAGAGCAAAGCGAGCCAGAGCGCCCTTTCCCCACACGCCAAAATGGCACAGCCGGGCCGCCCTGCTCTGGCCACGTCGTGAGAAGGCAGACCCCGCTGGGGCTGGCGGTCCTGCCGGGGGGGCAGAAGCAGGAGGGGCAAAGGGGCCCGAGCCGGAGGACTGCGCCGAGGGAGCTGCGTCCTGGAACGTGGAGGCGCTGGCGGGGCTGCGGAGGAGATGGCGCCTGGAGGGCTTCCTCTCCTGGGGTGGCCGGCAGCCGGAGATGACCAGGTGGCCCAGCGCCACTCCGAATGCCAGGGCTGCTGCTTGGGCATCACCTCTTGCCACTGAGCAGCGGGCAAAGGTGCCCGAGTGCTCCAGGCTCCCAGCAGGGCCAAAGGCCGCCTGGGATGGCCCTCCCGGCTGCCCCAAACGACCTGGGGGGGGGGGGGGGGGGCTTTGCTGGGAAAACGGGGAGGCGGTTCTGCCCGCAGCTCATTGCTTTCTGGACCTGATTCCATCCGCCCTTAATGAGGCGGGGAGGTAGGTTTCCAGGTACACACTCTCTCGTCCAAACGGCTGTGAGTGGTCCCTGCGCTGCTTGGGGCCCCTCCACGTCCCTTCGTCAGAAGAGCCCTCCCTGTGCAGGGGGCACAGGAGAAGCGGGAAAAGAGCCGCTCGCAGGCAGAGAGGGAGAGCACCGGTCTGGCCCATGCAGGGGGAGTGAGGCCACCCTGCCCTGCCCAGTCCTGCCCCGTGAGCACAGGAGGGTGGGCTTCCCCTCCCTGTGGCTGGTGCTGCCGGCACACACCACCCCGGCCTTCCGGGCGGAGGAGCTGCTCTTCCCCAGGTGCGTCCACCTGGAGGGGCCCAGGGCCCAGGACTTGGAGCAGCCAGCCCCCTCTGGCCTGGGCAGCCCAGCCTGGCTCCAGCCCCGCAGCTCGGCCGTCCGCTCTCCGATCCCACCCTACACCTTGCAGAACTGAGGCAGCTCTCTGGCCAGGAGGGGAGAGAGGGAAAGAAGAAAGGTGGGGGGGGGAAGGGGGAGGCTGCCTGGCCCCTTTCTTGCAGATGCAGAAAAGGCTATGCAATCTCTCTCTTCCCACACAAAACTGAGTTTTACTGAATATTTTCCATCTATAATGCTGGTATTTAGGAAGCCTTTAGCTGTCAATTAACTACCTACGGTGAATTCATACACTTCTAGCAAATCACAATCAGAAATTGCTTTGCATGGGTTCAAGCTAATGGCTTTCTGGCCCCTTCCAACTCCACAAACAAGCACCGTATTTGCGGCCTGAGGGACACACCTGCGGATGCAGGGAGGGGAACCTTCTAGCTGCCCTGCCATAAAGCAAGGAGGCTGCCTCCCCTCGCCAGAAAAAAGCACGGGCCAGCGAGGCCAGCCACGGGGGGCCATCGCTCCCTGGAGCCCCCAGGAAAGTCAAAGCCAAGATGGAAGCACCTTCTCCGCCTTCTCCCCGATTTCCTGTCCTTTTTTTTTAATAAGTTTTATTTGAAATTATAATCCTAAAAAAAAAAAGCAAAGACAAAAAGAAAACTAGAAACAACATCCATCATCACAAACATCGAGCCCGCTGGGTCAGCCCCCACGCCCCTCTTTTTTCCATTTATGATAATTTAGAAACATATTTAAATCTAAGACAAGTCCCGTTTCTCTAACCAATAATAAAAAGAATCCCAAGTTTGATAGAAGTCAGTGTCTTCTTTCTCCTTCAGTGATAAAGTCAATCCATCCATTTCTGCACAGTCCAGGATCTTTTTTAGAATCAGTTCATCGGTGGGAAGTTCCTCACTTTTCCAGTGTCGAGCAAATGCAATCCTCGCCAAAGTGATTCCATGTAAGATTTCCTGTCCTTTTCTCAAAGAAGAAACAAAAGCACAGTGGAAGATGAACCTCTCCCCACATCCTCGAGGGAAGGAGGTTTCGAAATGTTCCAAAAAGCAGAAGCTGGCTCTGCACACCAACAAGATGGGGCTCAGAATAAACATCAGCGGCAAGAGGAATGGAAAAGGACGGCAATTTCATAGTGCTTCACGGAATGACACCTCCAGTGCGGTTTCCTGCACAAGTGCCAGAATACAGCACTCCTCACTGGGAGTGTTGCAATACTGTTCGCGTGCACATTGCACAAATACGGGAACGAACTGCAAAGCATGTTCCGTTCCAAGGCACAGAAGGCTTGCCTGGAACGGGGACATCTTCAGGAGGTGTTGTTTAAAAAGCAGCACGATGGCACAGAGGCAGCTGTCCTGAACCCCCCCCCCCCCCCGGTGCGCCGATGCGATGCGGCCAAGCGGTGGGTGTGCAGGGAAGCGGGGCGCCTCTTGCGACGACCTTCCACTTCCAACACCCAGGGCACCCCTTCTCCTCCACCAACCTGCCAGCCACTGAGAACACGCTGCTGGAGGACCTTCTCCTGGTGGCTCCACATGGCCCACGGCCCGAGTCGGGAAGAGACTTGGGCATGGTGGCCCCATTTCTATGGGATCCTTGGGGTTTACTGCTCGGGTGGCCCCAGGATGCCAACGTGTTCAGTACCTGGAAGCCCTTCTTGCTGACCGGCCTTGATTTTAATGTCATCTTCTTCTAATGCATTGTTTTTATTTAATTTTTAATCTATTTCAGCTTTTTCCTGCCCACTGCTCTAGTTTCTGCTAAATATTGGGCAGGATGCAAATACTATAAATAGATAATGAGGCAGCTGGATCATGCGACAAAAGCCGTGTGAGCCACCAGGGGACCTAAAACTGCCTGGGAAGAGCTGCGATTCCATTCATGCGCTCCGGGATGCCCGGCCCACTTCCGCCACTGGTGCTGCACTGCTATGCCCAGAAGCATCAGCCAGGAACGCACCTGAGCAAGCGATGCCGCATGGGGTCCTTCCGCAGGTGCCAACGATGCTGGCCCAGAAAGCGCGCAGCCAAAGGACCTGCAGCCGGGACTGCGCCCAGGTTGTGACATGGCAGCCCTACCCCACGAGGGTGCGGGGGGGAGGGCAAGAGAGAGAGAGAGAGCTTTGCTCCAAGAGTGGGCAGAGCCAGGAGCAATCTGAGCGTGTCCCCCAGGGCCGGGACAGAACTTTAGGTGTGCCTGATGAGCTCAGCGGTAGATAAGCTCGGCTGACTTTTTCCGGAGAGGCCCAGTCTTGGCCAGATCTTGCTCATCGCCTCTTCTTCCTCTTCTTTGGATGCCGTTCAACCGTTTCTTTCTGGTGCGTGACGGAAGCAGGGAAAAGTGCCAGGAAAGCAAACCAGCTATGAATGCTGGAGGCACCCTGGAGGCCCAGCCCAGCCCCAGAGCTCTCCAAGCAGCCCCCTGGCAGACTGCAGAGAGGCTGCTACCGGTTCTTCCTGGCCGCACGTTCCCTTCCCATGGTGGACGACCAGCTGTCCCAGTGGCAGGGCTGGCTGCAGTGGGGCTGCTGGGCAAGGCACCTGCCCGCAGGGCCCTGCGCCTCCGTGAGCCCACTGTCCCACTGCCAGGCTCTGGCGCCTCCTCGTGGGGGAGAAATCCGGGGACTCCGCACAGTGGGCCCCTGGCCTGTGCCCATCCATGCCTACCCTTAGTGGGACCCTTGGCGTCCCAAGGACGCTGTGATGCCCGAGACTCAGAACCGGCGAGGGATTCCAGGGTGGCAAACCAACTGCAGCCCAGTGCCTCTGAGCAGGTACGGAGCAGCTTTCCCTCACCACAGGTAGCCGCACCCCTCCTCCTTGGCAGCCCTGCTGCGCACAGGAGCGGCAGGATGTGGGCGCAGCAGCGATCCTAAGCCGCACCCTCAGGGGGGCTGCCCACCGAAACGGCAGGGCCTCCCCTGCTTCCGTCCCGGCACTTCCCCTTTCTCGGGGCTCAAGAGAAGCCTCCGGGCCGCAGCCTCCCGCGGGACGGGACGCATGGGCGAGCGCTCGGCTGCGAGGATGCCCCGGGGCGGCCTGCGCTGGTTGCTGCTGCTCGGCTGCCTCTGCGCCCTGGCGCTCTGCTCCTCCGGGACCAGCCCCGGCTTCGTGGGCAGGATCACCGCGCCAGGCCTGGACTACGGTAGGTTCCCCGCCAGCCGCGTGCCCGGGAACGCGCTGCGGAGGGCGCGTGGGCGACCCGGGCGTTTTCGCCCCCTGCTCGGCGGGCACGACCGCGGGCCCCGCCGGCACTCGCTCTGCTCTGTTCTGTTCCAGCGCGCCAGGTGGCCGTGGCGGGCCTGCGGGAGAAGCTGGCCAGGCTGGTGCTGCCGGACTTCTCGGGCTCCCTCCACGTCAGAGTTTTCGGGCAGGTGGACTACCACTTCGGCAGGTGAGGCCGCGCGGCAGGGAAGGGGCCGCCCGGGCCGGGCCGCGTGTCTCCCAGGCGCGCCCGGCGGGCATTCCCAGGACGGGCTGCGCCGGAGGGGCGCGCTAGCAACGCCGGCCGCGCTCAGCGCGCGTCGGAATCGGCGCAGCTCCCCGCCGGACCCGCGCCAGTCGCCTGGCTTGTGCTGCGGCGCCGGCCGCGCTGCTTGGGATCGCGGAGCCGCGGCGCGCCCGGCACGGGCCGCCTCGGGAAGGGGCGACTGCGCGGCAGTCCGGGGCGTCGGGAGCGGCGGCTGGAGCGCGCAGAGCAGCGGAGCGGCTCGCCGGCGCCTCTTGCCCGGCCATGTGGCGAGCGCACGGCGCGGCTGCGGAGAAGCAGCGGGCGAGCGGGAGGCGCGCATCTCCGGCGCTGAGCGGCTTGGCCCCGCTCGCCCTCCGCCTGCGGCACTGCGCGCCCTCCGCAATCTTCGGGAGGTGCCGGAAGGAGGGGGAGGCCCGCGGGAGAGGGCGGAAGGAAGGAAGCCACCGGCTGCGGAAAGCCTTGCCCCGTTGCCCCGCGCAGCCGGCGAGCTGAGCCTCCGTGGCCGAGCGGCACGCATCGGCTTCCTTCCTCTTTCCCTCCCGTGGCGCTGCCGCGTGAGGCCTCCTCGCCCGCTGCTGGCGGAGTGCTGGCGACTGCGGGGACGGGGGCGCCCAGTTTTGGCCCCCCGAAGCCCGGCCTGGCCTGCAGTGCCTACCGGGGCGCGTTGCTGTGGTGCTTCTGGGCCACTGCTAGCCGCTGTTCTGTTTCGCTGCCACGACTGAATGGCGTCGGCGCCACGGGAGTCCTCCCGCCTCCTGCATGCAGAGACGGCCAAGCAGGGCCGCCTGGGGCGAATACTCGGGGCAAGACATGCTGGGGCAGACCGCCCCGCCACACCTCCCTCTGTGCACGAGGTGTAGGTAAGCCGCCAGCCCGGGGGCCCACCTGGAGCACCCCGAATCCCAACCTCATCATCATTGTCAGGACTCCGTATTGCTTCTGGGGCGCCTCAGCTGCAGCCCTCTGGGCCACTCACAACAGGCCGGACGTGCTCCCACGAGAGCCCTTCCTCCCACGGAGACCCTGCGCTCCAGAGGGAGGGCCGAGGCCTGGCCCCGGCCAGGTGATGTCAAGCTGTCTGTTTCCGCACCTGCTCCTCCCCCTTCTCCCTGCCTCCTACAGGTTGACCATCCAGAGCTTCCAGCTGCCAAACTCGGCCGTGGCACCAGTCCCCGGCGTGGGCCTCCGGCTCACCATCACCAACGCCTTCACTTCGCTGACGGGCAAGTGGAAGGTGCGGAAGAGATGGCTGTGAGTGTCTCCGTACTCGCTCGCTCGTTCCGAGAAGCCCAGGCTGCCTGGCAGAGACGGCCTGTGCCGAGGGGGCCTGCCTGGAGAACAGGGCCGGCTGCCTCTCTGTTGGCTGCGGACGGAGAGGGGCCCCAGAGGGCGCAGGAGTGACTGGGGGAGCCACCCGCACGCCTCCCCCTCTGCCCTCAGCCTGCCCTGGCTGGCGGGGAGCGCGGCCATCCCTGCACACCGGAGCAGGCCGGCTGAGCCCCCGGTTGACCTGGCGCCCGCAGGCAACCCTGCGAGGGGGCAAGGCCAGTGCAGCCGTGGGGCCTGGCCAGTGGCTCCCTCCGCTCCCGGCCCTGGTTGTGCCCGGCCCAGAGTCCTCCTCCCTGGGGGCCCTTCCAGGCCGCCCACCCGCGTCCTCAGGGGAGCACAGCTGGGCTGCGGGCTGCATTGCACCTCGCGCACGGCCCTGATGCTGCCACGGCAGAGCGCGCTCCCCATGCCCGGCGTCCCTCTCGCGAGCCACCCTCACCCCCAGAGCTCCCGACCTGGGCTTTGGTGAAGACGGGTAAAAGCCTCGCCAAGGACTCGGGAACAACTGCAGGATGCCAGGCGGGTCGGTCGGATTCTGAGCACAGCCCGGCAAGCGGCCTCAAGAGGCACGTGGTTTCCAGTGCCCTGAGCAGCGGGCGGAAGCCAAGGCGGGCGTGTGTCTCGCTGGCACAGCGCTGCACCACCCGCCCCCTGGCTCCTCAAAGGCCCCCCCCCCACCTGCGGAAAGGCCTTTGGCTCCTCCGTCGGTCTTAGTGCCCGCGGCTGAAGAAAACACAGCGGGGGCCATACCAGGGAAACCTTGGCTGTGTCTCCTGCCTCCCTCAGGCTCCCTTACTCCCAGGGAGACCTGGTCCTGGCACACAGACTGGAAGGGAAAATGCGCCCCCCCCCCCACCTCTCCATGGAGATTTCCGAGGACTCTCTTGTCTGTTGAGTGTCCCGAACTGGCTCCTGCCAGGCTTTGCCCTGGAGGCCGGATCAGTCCTCTTGTCCAAGCACCTGGATGGTGCACCAGTTATTGGCTGGCTAAGCGGCGGCGCCTGGCCTGCAGGTGACCTCAGCCGGGGCATCTGCCCTGGGAAGGGCTGGGGGCTTCTGTCCCCAGGCCTGGGCGTGGTCTGGCTGAGTGGGCCTCTCCAGCCCAGCCTCAACAGCCCAGAAGTCCAAGACTTGGAATGAGACCCTACAACCTGCCCTGTGGCGCATTGGTCCTGCTGGGGCACTCGCCTCGGGCAGTGCGTGCTGATGCGGGGCAGCCCGGGCTTCCCGGCAGGGCTGTGTCCCCCGTGCATGAGCCAGTCCAGTTCAGCCTCCCCCTCCCCCGTGCATGAGCCAGTCCAGTTCAGAGAGAAGGCCTGTCAGCACCGGGGTCGGGGGGGGCGCTGGCGGTTTCAGGAGCAGGTGAGGAGGGGCTGCGGCTTCGGGGGCTCAGGCTGGGCTCTGCTCTCTGCCACCAGGAGGGACAGTGGCTCCTTCGACCTGAAGGTCGAGCGCATCTCCATCTCCGTGACCCTCAGGCTGGGCAGCGGCCCTGCCGGGCGGCCGACCGTCTCCACCTCGAACTGCAGCGCCAGCATTTCCGACGTCGACATGCATATTTCTGGCAGGTTCGGGTATGTTTGCTGATGCTTCTGAGTGGTTCGTGGCCGCCTTTCAGCCAACCCTCGGCCCTGTGCTCCTGCAGCTTAACTTTACTTGGGACGTTCTGCCTCGCTTACCCTTGGGGTGCCCCCCACGTTCCCCGGGGTGCTTATTGCCACACAATGGCCCGTGGCACTGCTTCCTCCTCCCTGTGCCAACCGCACTCGATGTTGGGCTGCAGGAGTGGGCCAGCGAGAAGCTGGGACTGCGCTGCCCTGCCTTGCCTGCTGCCCTCTCCAAGCCTCCACACAAACTGTGACATCCTGATCTGAAGTACTCAACATCATTTGGACAGTCTCCTTCAGCCTCGGGCAGCCTTCCCCAGTTGGGTGTTCAAGACGTCCCATCATCCCAGCTGGGGATTGTGGGAATTGCAGTCCAGCCCGTCTGGAGGGTTCCGGCTAGGGATAGCTGTCCTAAGGGGTGTTTGGTGACTCTGCAATTTCAGCCGGTCTGACGTGTGCTTGCATTTGATCTCCACACAAGCGCTTGCTGTTCTCGCAAGCCTCCCCCTGACCCGCTTCTCTGGGGACGGCCCGGCACGAGGCTGTGCTGAGAGCTTTGGCCTCGGGGCGGAAGAGGAGCGAGACAAGACGAGAGCGGTGCCAACGCAAGAAAAGCGTGCGGCACTGTCCATAACACCGTGGATAAACCTGGGAACCCTTGGAAGAGGCTCTGCTTCAAGCATTGCCTTCGCCTGTTTTCTTATTCTTATTTATTTATTTAAACAACTTATTTATTTATTTATTTATTTATTTATTTATTTATTTAAACAACTTATATGCTGCCCCATTGCATGAGCCTCGGGGCGGCTTACAATCATAAAATCATCAAATAATTAAAATACATAAAATAAAATAGTGGACCCAGCCTGGTCAATTTAAAATAAACCATTAGCAGTTAAAATAGCGTTTAAATAAAAAGGTCTTGGCCTGGCGCCGAAAAACAAATAAGGAGGGCGCCCGGCGGACCTCCCTGGGGAGCGCGTTCCACAGGTTGGAATTCATGGCAGCGCCCGACGGGGGACGGGGCGGCGGGGGTGACCGGGCCTGGCCCTCCCTGCTCCCCGTGGGCCAGTCGGGGCTGCCTAGATAGAGACGGGCTTGACGTGTGAAGAGACCCCCGGCACCAAGCGTCCTTCGGGGCACAGGGTGGGGGCTGCCCTCCTGGTGCACCGAGGTGCGGGGGATGCTCTGCTCCCAACATGGCCTTGGGAGGGAGGGCAGGAGCCCATGCGGGGAAGCCGGAGCCTCTCCCCGGGCTTCCCGGACGCTGCGCCCTGTGCCCCGAGCCCGTGGAGGCGGGCGGCACACCTCGGCGACCGCTACGGAGCACTGAGATCCCCGTGTGCTTCCCCCCGCAGCTGGCTGTACAACCTCTTCCACAGAAGCATCGAGTCAGCCTTCCGAGAGGCCATGGAAGGCCGGGTAAGGTCAGGGTGGGCCTTCCCGGGCTCCCCACCGCCCCGTTCCTTTCCCACTAATCCTCACCAGGTTCAAACTGGGGGACCCCTGCGGGTGAGCGGCCTCGGATCCTCCCTTCCCAGCTGAGCATGTCCACTCGTGAAACACCTGGTTTCCTGGGCACGCCTGCTCTTGCACCATGAGTGGGAATGGCACTCTGCACGTGCTCTGTGAGGAATGGATAGAATGGTGCTGATTACCTTGACAAGTCCTCCTTGTCTTGTTGTTTGGTGCTGGGCTACTTTTCAAGCTCCTCTTCAGAGCACTGGCACTAGCCGCATCCAGGTCCAGGTCGGAATCCGGTTCCGGGTTTTCCTAAATCTCTCCCTTCCCCGGTCACTTGGGTCCCTTTCTTGGTCTTCCGCAAATTACGGAGGCACACGGGACGCAGTTCCGGGCGGAATCCGACTCAGTCAGTCCTTCATGTCCCAGTTTCAGTTGCTGGGGTCCTTGCCAAGGCGCTCTGATCGCGCTGGACCCGACGCAAAGGCGGGAGGAATCCGGATGGATGCTGCAGCGCAGGAGCGCCTGCCTGCCCCCCCCCCGTAACCCGGGCTTCACTCTCACTCTCTTTCCTCCCATTCTCCAAGGTCTGTGACGAGGTGCGCAGTTCGGTGAGCACCAAGCTGCAGCCCTTTCTTCACACTCTGCCAGGTGAGGGCACCTCATGCAGGGCAGGTAACTGGCTGATTGCCAGCTGAGAGCCAGGGTGGCGTCGTGGTGGAGAGCACGGGACCAGGACTCAGGCGATCCGGGTTCGAGTCCCCGCTCGGCCATGGAGCCAACTGGGTGGCTTTGGGCCAGTCACAGACTCTCAGCCCAACCTACCTCACAGGGCTGTTGTTGTGGGGATAAGATGGAGGAGAATGATGTGAGCTGCCTTGAGCCCTTTGAGGAAAAAGGCAGGATATAAATCGAAAAATAAATAAATAAATAAATAGATCTGAAGGGAAGAGCATCTTTTACGCAGGCAGGTGCTTCACACCGGTTTCCCTGCGCTCTTCACACCGTCTCTGGCTCGGAACTGGGCCTCCAAATTGGAGCCTTTGGGTGCTCCATCTCCACACTGTGATAAATACGCCCTTTGCGCTGCATTTATTCCCCGGCACAACACGGATCCCTTCGGAGCCTCCTCCTTGCCCAGAATTTGGATCGACTTCCCTTTCTCAGCAGGGCTTGCCCTACCTGTGCAGTTCGAAGAGAGCAGGTGGAGGCAGAGGGGTCAGAGCAGGCCGTTCCCCCCCCCCCATGGTGGGGGCCTGCGAGTCCCACCATCCTTCACCATTCAGTATGCGCTCTGGGGCTGCTAGGAGTTGTAGACCAAAGCACTGGGGGGCTGCAGGTTGCCCACCCCTCTTCGGGGAGACGCTTTTGCAGAAGACTCTGCGGCCCCGGCCGTGCGCCGTTCTTGGTGCAGAAGAGCCCCCTTCCCGTCCGAACCTCTCGTCCTTTCGCGCTCGCTTGCTTCGGGAAAGGCCAAGGCGGCGCTCCTCCCTGAGGGGCACGGCGAATGCTGGCCCCAGGCCCCGCGGAGGCTCCCGGCCCGTGCTGCCCTCGTCCGCCACGGGCGCTTGCGGTGCATCGAGGGGGCTCTTTGCCCCACCTGCACTCGGCTCCCACGCGAGAAGCAGGAAGCCGCCGTGCCCTTCCCAGAGCATCGTGTCCTTCTCTTCCAGTCACGGCGAATATCGACAAGGTCGCCGGCATCGATTACTCCCTGGTTGGGCCTCCCGTTGCCACGGACAGCTCTGTAGACCTGGCGCTGAAGGTGAGATAAGCCAGGGAAGACGGCGCTTTCCCAGTGAGCGGAGGCAGCGAGCTGGGCTGCAGCGGCGCTTCCTGCTGCACTCACCTTCTCCTGTCGGGAATTCTTCTCCCGTGTGGGGAAGTGTTCAAAGCAGCCGCCGCACGACTCGGCCCAGGCCTCTCTCTGCCTCCCTTCAGGCCAGCGCAGCAGCGGCCAAGCCGAATCTCCGGTGTCCCCTCCGGACAGCCAGCCGTGCCCCCTGGCGTCCCCGGAGGCTTCTCACCCACCCGGGGGCCTGGCTTTGCCGGAAGCGCCTCCGCTGCCCCCATCACGGGGGCTCGGCTCAGCCCCTTCCCAGTCCCGCTTCGCACCCCGGCTCCGATCCCTCTGAAGCGTAGCCGCAGCCCATGAGAAGGAGCCCCCAAGCAGCCGTCTTCTCCCCCCAGCACGCCTGTCAAAGGGGGCGCGAAGTTGGGCACCCCCCTCAAGTGGGGTGGGAGGGACCCCCACGCTTGTCTTTGCTGCCCTCAGAGCAAAGCAAGAGGGTCTTCCTTGCACCAGCTTTACACTTGTGTAAACCTCCCGGAGAGCCTCGGCTGCAGCACGAGCACCTCACACGCGCCGCTCTTTCCGAAATGCGTGGCGCTCCTCTTCCTCCCCTGCAGCCACATCGTCGCCCCTCGGGAGGCCTGGCGAGGGGATGTGAGCGTGTGCTCCCGCAACAAGCCCATGGAGGGGCGGGCTACTGCACAGCACGGGGGGAGCCCGCCCTGGGGAGGCCGGGGGGCCAGCGGGGAAGCGCCACAGGAGCAGCGCTCCGCCTCTCCTCTCCTCCACCGGATGGGGGCCCAGGAAGAAGCGGGGGCCCACTTCAGATTAGTGGCAGTGCAGGACACTTCTCAGAATATGAATTTCAGCTTCGAGGAACTGGAGGGGTGTGTGTGGCGAAGGCCCCCGGCTCTGTGCTCGCGTAACCCCCCCCCCCCCCGTAAATAGGCTGGGGGCACTGTGGCACATCCCCCATCAGTCCATGCTCGGGACGGCTTTCGTAAAATAAACAAACATAATACAAATAAAATCCAGATTCACCCTGGCTGCAAATTAAAACCTATGGATGATATTAAAAGTTATTAAAATATTTTTTAAATAAAAAGGTCTTAGCCTGGTGCTGAAAAACAAATAACGACGGCGCCAGGCAGACCTCTCTGGGGAGTGCATTCCACAGATGGAATGTGAAGCTGGTGGAGGACTGGGGTTATGTGAGAGTAACGCCCAGTCCCCATCAGCAACCTGGCTGCTGTGTTTTGCACCATCTGAAGTATCCGGACTGTCTTCAAGGGCAGCCCCACGTAGAGCGCATTGCAGAAATCCAACCGGGAAGTAACCAATGCGTGCGTCACTGTTGCCAGGCAATCCTCCTCCAGGTAGGAACGCAGCTGATGGATTAGCCGAAGCTGATGGGAAGCGCTCCTCGCCACCGCAGTCACCTGAGCTTCCAAGGACAGCTCTGGGTCGAGGAGCACTCCCAAGCTGCGGACCTTGTCCCTAAGAGGGAGTGCAACCCCATTCAGGACAAGGTCCAAGTCACCTACCCAGGAGCTCGAACCACCCACCAGCAGGACCTCTGTCTTGTCTGGATTGAGCTTCAGTTCATTGGCCCTCATCCAGCACATTACCTCGGCCAGGCACCGGTTCAGCACAGCCACTGCCTCACCTGGATTGGTGGAAAACGAGAGGTAGAGCTGGGTATCATCAGCGTACTGATGATTCTGCAGCCCACACCTCCTGATGACCTCTCCCAGCGGCTTCATGTAGATGTTGAATAGCAAGGGGGACAAAATGGACCCCTGCGGTACTCCATGGCAGCTATGCCATGG